GGAGGAGGCGGAGGGAGGCGGCGGAGGGGCAGAGGGCGTGCGAAGGCAAGGAGGCGAGGAGGGACTGGAGTCGGTCGGAGGCGGATGAGGAGGAGGAGGAGGAGGAGGAGGAGGAGGAGGAAGGGGGGCAAGAGGAGGAGAAGGCGGAGGAGTATGAGGACAGTTGGAAGAGATGGGAGGGAGGGGCAAGACAGCAGGCATGGCGTGAGCGCACCTATAGCTTTCCCATCCCCCGTCTCCCATCCTCCCTGGTCCCGTCATATATTGGACACTACGAGCGCTGGTTATTGCCTCTTCCTGCTCCTCCTGCTGGGGCGCCTGCCCCACCGGACGGCCGCCGAGTTTCTACCCCTACGTGGCCCCGTAGGGAGTATGATCTTTGCAGCCGCCATGCGGGGGCAGGTGTCCCCGACAGTTTATGTTATACCGTTCTTCGCCCACTATCGCAGGTTGGTCTGAGCGCTGCTCCCGCTGCTTTGGTTGTCCTCCTCCTCCTCCTCCTCCTCCTCATTTTCCCCCTCCTCCCCCTGCAGGTGGTGACGTTGGAAGGAGGAGGAGGAGGAGGAGGAGGAGGAGGAGGAGGAGAGGAGGAGGAGGGAGGAGGAGGAGGAGGAGGAGGAGGAGGAGGAGGAGGAGGAGGAGGAGGAGGAGGAGGAGGGAGGAGGAGGAGGAGGAGGAGGAGCAGCAGCAGCAGCAGCAGCAGCTGCAGCAGCAGCTGCAGCAGGACTGCGCCGCGGGGCGCGAGGTGCCAGGCCGGGTGGCCCCGAGCCGCCGCTGGGCCCCGCCGCAGCCGCTCCGGGCCGGGGGGGGGGCGGGCCCCAGGGGCCGACGGGCGGCCTCCCGCGAGGGCGCTGCGCAGCGGGGTGGGCGACGCGGCGGGGCCGCGGAGGGAGGAAGTGGGGGGCCACATGCGAACCCTGCCCCTGCCCCCCTCTCCCGAGCGAAGTGAACCCCACCCTCCCCCTCAGAAGTCGTGGTGGGTAGCCCCCGAGGACCCCTTCTCGTGGGGGAGGGGTTCTGTGGTTCCCATCGTGCTCGAGGACCACATCCCAGAAATAAGTTCGATCTGCACGAACGAAGCGAGTACGGGAATAATGGGTACGATGCCCAACAGCAGTTCCTGTTTATTTGGGACATGACTCGCTGTCCGTGCCGCCGCGGCCTGTATCCACTCGAGGCAGAAGGCTGCCTGCCGAACAGCGGCCGCTGTTGGTTTGGGACAACATTTAGTGTTGGGCATTGTACCCATCTTTTCCGTACCCATTTCGGGCGTCCAAAAACCCTTTTCGTTGGGGAGGGGTTCTGTTGCTCCCATCGTACTCGAGGGCCACATCGCGGAAATAAGTTCGAGCACCCAGGAGAATTTGGGGTTCACTTCGTTCGGGAGCCCTCCCCCTCAGGAATCGTGGTGGGTAGGGGTAGGGTTTGCATGTGGCCCCCTAGGAACCCTTCTCGTTGGGGAGGGGTTTTGTTGCTCCCATCGTACTCGAGGACTGCGTTCCGGAAATAAGTTCGAGCACCCAGGAAAGTATCGAAATTGGGGCCAGAGAGTGTCGCCTCCCAGGGCACGACGAGCGAAGACCTTCCCGTTTCGGTACTTTTTTGGTGCTCGAAGTTCTGTCTGGTGATCAAGGCTAAAACGAGGTTGGAACATCATGAGGGGAGGGGCTCAGCGTTCCTAAATTCTTCGATGAGGAGTTTTTTTGTTTTATGCGTTCCGCGCGGATTTCGTGGCTCCGCGCTGGCCCCCCCTGGCGACGCCTCCAGCGCCGCCCCTGGCGCGCTCCGCGCGCCAGGGAGGGGGGTCCAGCGCAGATCCGAGAAGTCCGCTCGGACCGCCGAAAGTCGATGTGTATGCCGTTTTTCTGTTCCTGTCATTGTTTGATAGTTTGTCTCAGGATTTCCTGAGATTTTCTATGGGAGATCGAAGTTCAACTTATGGGAAAAAAGGCGTCGTTCCTCATTCAGGGTTCCTTGTGACAGCGTCTCTGCTTTCAGTGTGCGGGCCAGTTTTGTATTCAGATGTGTAGCACCCCGAAATGGCGGAGAAGAGGGAGGGGGCGGGCAAGGGGCGGGTCGCGGGTTGGGCCGCGGAGCGGGTCGCGGGGTGGGTTGCGGGGTGGGTCGCGGGCGGGTTGCGGTGGGTCGCGGGCCGGGTCGTGGGTTGGACAACGACAACAACAATCATTCCAATTTTTGCTCGTTCTTATCTGTTCGCGTGCCACTCAGCACGCATATCGCAAGCCCACGATACCCGCCCTTTTCGCTGTCGATCGCACCCCCACTTGGGGGGCTAATCTTCCTTACATGCAACTTGCTTTTCATGCAACCCCCGTAGGCAGGGGAAGCGAGGACGGATGAAATGAAGAGACAAGGGGGAGGGAGGAGGATGGAGTACGAGAGAGAAAAGCAGGAGGGGGGCAGGGAGCAGATAACACTGGGCAGAACCAGACGGGCCGATCGGGCGGGCAGACCCTGCCGAGCGGGCCGGGAAGGCGGGCCCACGCGGCCAGGTCGAGCAGGCGGGTCGCTGAAGCGGGCGTCCTGCATGAATGGCGAGGAAGTCTCGAGCGATAGCGCGACTCCCAAGTGAATCGTGACAAATCCTGGGTGTCGAGGGCGCGGCGTTTGAATCAATTGTGAGGAAGTCCCACGTCAGAGCGCGATTCCTGCATAACTTGCGAGGAAATCCCGTGCGAGCGCGCGGTTTTTTTTGATCACTTGTGAGGAAGTATCAGGTGTGAGCCGTTGTTGTTGTTGTTGTTGAATATTATTACTTCTAAAGAATAATTATTGTTGGGCCCCCTGGTGCACGCCCCCCTCGCCGCGCCTAGGCCGCAGCCACATTTTCATCATTTTCGCGAGGAAGTCTCAGGCAAAACGGGGGAATCCGGATCCGGTTGTTTTGTTGACGCCCGCTTTCCCTGTCAAAAAACAATATAAAATGACATGTCTTGTTCTAACATAACCAAACTTCAATAATCCTTTGCAAAAAATGGCACGAAGTGCACACTCGCGCGCGCAAGGCGAAATCCTTCCAAAACCTTAGTTTTCGTAGCGATTTTAACATAAAAACATGAAAAACCCAATGGTTTTTCAAAAAAAACATGTCAAAATTTCATCCCGCGCGCTCTTGCGGATTTGTAGGAAACCCAACACTTTTTAATCATTTCTGTCAAACGGGCTTTTGCGAGCAACTTTTTCGAACTTCTGCAACAACGGTTGCGCACCTGCCAGGGCCATCATCCCTGTCAAATAATACCATGCGGGACACATTCGTTTTTTCTTCGCGCGCGCACGCCGTCGTCGTCGGCCGCGGGGCCCTGAATAGTAGCCACGGTCGTCCGCATGCCACGAAGTGAAGTGTCCGAGCGTCATAGGGCGGGAAGCTGGGTGTGGGTGGTGGCGAAGAGTCGTTTGGAAATTTGGTAGAGCTTGAACCGGCCCCCCCACAAAGTGGGGGTATTGCCCGCCTCCTATGAAAACCCTGGCACTGGTGAGAACGGAGTGTCCCCACGTGCTAGTAATTGTTGTTGTTGTTGTTGTTGTTGTTGTTGTTGTTGTTGAACATTATTTCTTCTTAAGAATAATTATTGTTGGGACCCCTGGTGCACGCCCCCCCCGCCGCGCCTAGGCCGCAGCCACGTTTTCATCATTTTCGTGAGGAAGCCTCAGGCAAAACGATGTGATCCAGATCGGTTGTTTTGTTGCCCCCCGCTTTCCCTTGCAAAAAATAAGGTAAAGTGGACATTTCTTGTTCTAACATAATCAAACTTCAAGAATCCCTTGCAAAAAATAAGGTAAAGTGGACATTCGCGCGCGCAAGACGAAATCCTTCCAAAACCTTAGTTTTCGTAGCGATTTTTTAATAAAAACATCAAAAAACCAATGGTTTTTCAAAACAAAATTGTCAAAATTTCATCCCGCGCGCTCTTGCGGATTCGTAGGAAACCCAACACTTTTTAAACATTTCTGTCAAACGGGCTTTTGCGAGCAACTTTTTCGAACTTCTGCAACAACGGTTGCGCACCTGCCAGGGCCATCATCCCTGTCAAATAATACCATGCGGGACACATTCGTTTTTTCTTCGCGCGCGCACGCCGTCGTCGTCGGCCGCGGGGCCCTGAATAGTAGCCACGGTCGTCCGCATGCCACGAAGTGAAGTGTCCGAACGTCATAGGGCGGGAAGCTGGGTGTGGGTGGTGGCGAAGAGTCGTTTGGAAATTTGGTAGAGCTTGAACCGGCCCCCCCACAAAATGGGGGTATTGCCCGCCTCCTATGAAAACCCTGGCACTGGTGAGAACGGAGTGTCCCCACGTGCTAGTAATTGTTGTTGTTGTTGTTGTTGTTGTTGTTGTTGTTGTTGTGGTTGTTCAATTTTCATGTCTGAATAATCATGCTGACCCCCCCACCGTTGCACACTGCTTTTTCTCAATCAAAGTGTGTCACTCGACGCTCGCACCTGGTTTTTTATTTATCAGGGAGAGTCTTGAGGCTCCAAGTGGGCCCCTGGCCCCTGGGTTACAACAGCATCGGCTCCCGTCTGAGACTTCTTCATAATTTAGCCAGGACCCCCGCTCCCGCCCGAGACTTCCTCGCATTCTATTCAGGAATCGCGCTCTCGCGTGGGACTTCCTTACAATTAATTTAGGAATCGCTCTCCCGGCGCTCTGGAGTCGCGCTCCCGCTGGAGACTCGCTTGCAATCTACTGAAGAATAGCGCCCTTGCATTGGAATTTCTTGCAATGTAGTCAAGCGCCGTGCTCCCGACACCCAGGCACCCATGAGTCGCGCTCACGCTTAGGATTCCCTCACAGATTACCTAGGAATCGGGATCTCGCAGCCCTTCGTGGCCCCGTTGCAGCCCTTCGTGGCCCCCTCGCTTTGTTTCCTGGCCCCGTTGCAGCCCTTCGTGGCCCCCTCGCTGCTCTTCGTGGCCCCGGTGCAGCCCCCCGTGACCTCTTCGCTGCCCTTCGTGGCCCCGTTGCAGCTTTTCGTGGCCCCCTCGCTTTGTCTCCTGGCCCCGTTGCAGCCCTTCGTGGCCCCCTCGCTGCTCTTCGTGGCCCCGGTGCAGCCCCCCGTGACCTCTTCGCTGCTCTTCGTGGCCCCGTTGCAGCCCTTCGTGGCCCCCTCGCTTTGTTTCGTGGCCCCGTTGCAGCCCTTCGTGGCCCCCTCGCTGCCCTTCGTGGCCCCGTTGCAGCCTCTCGTGGCCCCCTCGCTGCCCTCCGTGGCCCTGGTGCAGCCCTTCGTGGCCCCCTCGCTGCCCTTCGTGGCCTCATATGTGTATGCCCTTCGTGGCCCCCGCTCGTTCGCGCCCGTGGTGGCTTCATATGCATGCCCTTCGTGGCCCCGCTGTCGCTGTTTGTGGCCCCCTCGCTGCCCTTCGTGGCCCCGTTGCTTCCCTCAGTCGCCCCGCCCTTGCCCTCCGCGGCCAAGTATACGTATACCCTTCGTGGCCCCCGCTCGTTCGCGCCCGTTGTGGCCCCATGTGCATGCCCTTCGTGGCCCCGCTGTCGCTGTTTGTGGCCCCCTCACTGTCCTACGTGGCCCAGTAGCTACCCTCAGTGGCCCCATCGTTGCCTTCTGTGGCCCCGCATTACCTGCCCTTCGTGGCCCCCGCTCGTTCGCGCCCGTTGCGGCCCCATACGCATTCCCTTCGTGTCCCCGCTGTCGCCCTTCGTGGCCTACTTCGTGTCCTTGTGGCCCTGCTGTTGTTCTCTCTCGCTCTCGCTTTCGCTCGTCGTCGTCGTCGCCGTCGTCGTCGTCGCCGTCGTCGTCGTCGACGTCGTCGTCGTCGTCGTCGTCGTGGTCGGTCCCCTGTCCGTCACTCTTGGG